GGTTGGGGTTTGGGGTGGGGTTTGGGGTTGGGGGGGGTTGGGGTGGGGTTTGGGGTTTGGGGTTTGGGTTGGGGTTGGGGTTTGGGGTTGGGGTTTGGGGTTTGGGGTTTGGGGTTTGGGGTGTTGGGGTGGGGTTTGGGGTTTGGGGTTTGGGGTTTGGGGTTTGGGGTTTGGGGTTTGGGGTTTGGGGTTTGGGGTTTGGGGTTTGGGGTTTGGGGTTTGGGGTTTAGGCAGCACTTTTCTTTTTTGCACAGGATCGACAAGAGGAAGCCCAACAGTTGCCGGTAAGGGTGACGGATTTACAACTACTCTGTCCGACTTGGACCTGACGCGGGTCTAGAGTTTAGGGGTTTAGGGTTTAGTTGGGATTTAGGTTTTAGGCTTACCCTTAAAGCAGCATCTGAACATCAAAAGAAGACCCTTGGGGTGAAGGGTCGAGCGCTCAAAAACAGCGGGGGTTTGAAGTCATAGTCCAAACACCCATATGGAGTGGAGTGAGAAGGCCCTGGCCCTGATATTTAGCCCCGAAGCCACGCCACGAAAAAGGCAGGGAACTCCGCAAAGCCAAGTTGCATTCGGGTTTTGGACTGTAACAGAAGCTTTCAAGCTGCGATGTCTTGCGGCCTTTTCCTATGAGTTGGCTTAGGGTTCAGGGTTTAGGGGTCAAGGCATAGCCTCAATCAATCTTCCATCCACCCAGTCGTACATCCAGTCTCTACTGCGAAAGGACCGTGAGCCCTTCTTTGTGCATCCGAACCTATCCCTAAACCCGAAACCCTAAACCCTAAATCCTAAACGCTAAACCCTAAACCCTAAACCCTAAGCCCGAAATCCTAAACCACACTGCTCGAATCCCCCTAAGCCCGCGATCCGAAAGCTGGAAACCCAAGAGTTCCAAGTCCATTTTTCTGGAATCTTGGGGTGGTTCCCCCTGATGCTAACAGTCTGTCCGAAATGGGGATCATAGTACCCCCTACTAGAATCCCTACTAAGGACGGTTAGTATAAACAGGGAACATCCCAACTGGAATCCCTGAGCCATGGAAATGGAAAAAGGGGGTTTGGGGCTTAGGATTTTAAGCTGGATTAGGGTGGGAGCCTGAAGAGTTACCTAGATCATCCCCGTGTAGTCCCTATACAGTAACGTTAACTATTAATCTTGGCCCCTAAACCATCAGCCCGAAACCCTAATCATCCCATTCTGACACCCCAAACCCTAAACCCCCTCTATTAGCCTGCCTATCTTTGGCTTCGCCAGCGCTGGCATGTTTGGCAGAGGAGGTACCCAGTCATCCTCCTGAGCAGGTTCTTGGACTTTGGCTATGTACTGGGGTCTCAATGAATCGCATGCAACAAAATAATGCAATAAGTGCGCTTAAACCCTAAACCCTGGCCGGGACCGTAAACCCTAAACCTTCAACCCTTTTCGGAAGGATTCAGCCAGGGATGACGGTGCGATGTCGGTGCTTGAAAAGCGGCCCCTGCCTACAAAAGCACAGCAACCCTCCAATCCTGAAGGCCAAAAGCGTACAGCTGCTATCTGCCCTAAACCCTAAACCCTAAACCCTAAACCCTAAACCCTAAACCCTAAACCACCAACAAGATGAAGAAAGACAATCCCTGTGTTGCCCTTATAGGGAAGAATATTTCTTATTAGGGGGCTTTAAGCAAGTAGTCGACAACAGGGCCTGACAAGGGAATTGCTAGCCCAGGAACTTTATTCTGACAAGGGTACCATGTTGGGGGTTTGGTGTTTAGGGACTAGGGTATAGGGTTTAGGGTTTAGGGCTTAGGGTTTGGGGTGTAGTTGGTTTCTTACTTTGAAGGAGGTGGCTGAGAGTTTGAGGGTGAAGGGGGGCCAGGCATGGTCCTCCTCATCGAGGCTCGTTTCCATGGCGTGGTCCTGCGCCGCCTACAAGCCTAGACGTCTGGGGTTTAGGGTTTCGACTCTTTAGGGTTTAGGGTTAAGGGTTCAAGGGTTTAAGGGAGTTTAGGGTTTAGGGTTCAGGGTTCAGGATTTTAAGGGTTTTAGGGGAAACCTCCACTTGAGGGTGTGGGCTATTCTTGCCACCTGCACAGCTTGGTAGTCGGGGGCCGCATGGAGCAGTGGAAGTTCCCTACGTGTCTGTTTCTCTGCTTCGTCATTCCTTACTGGCGACCGGGCCTAGCTTACCGGCTTTTGCTACGGAAATTGTGGAAGAAACGGTTCCCAGACATTCCTGCGCAAGGTTGCATAAGGGGAATTCCCAACTCGCGGACAAATCTCCAGCTGTAATAAAGAGACGGTCAAACTCACAGAGCCAACAAACCATCAGGATTTGCAAAGGAGCTACCCAGAGCCCATGCCCGCTTAAAGCCTTAAACTTAGGCCCTATGCTCCCACGCTGCCAGCCAGCCACCAAACCCTGAACTGCGAACCGCAAACCCTAAACCTTAAACCCCTCCTCCTCATCATCGTCATCGTCGTCATCCTCGTAGTCGTTGTTGTTGGTGCCTCTAAACAGTGGGGGGGGTGGGGTTGGGGAGGAGCATTTTAATTCGGGCTGGCGACTTGGCCACTCAAAAGGGGTCCTCGAGGACCTCGGATGTCCGACCTAAACCAAACAAGAGCTGCTTCACAGCCTGCCCAAACAGCCTGCCCAACAAGCAGCAATTCCCGCGTACCGGCTCGTGGCCACTAATGAATACGGTCGGTGCTAGTGGTAACCCTGAACCCTAAACAATTTAAAGGACACGATGATGGTCATAAAACGGGTGGGGCGCAGTTCAACAGATGGATAAACAGTCAAAGTTTGCTAGCTCCAGGCACCGTCTGCTTCCCTGAGCCCTAAAGCCAAACCCCTAATCTTCATAAACCCTAAACCCTAAACCCTAAGCCC